ATTCATAGCAGCATTATGCATAATAGATGAATGGTGGAAACAACCCAAATTTCCATCAAATGTTGAATGGATATATAAAATGTGATAAATTCATACAATGGAATATTATTTGGCCATAAAAATGAACTGCTGGTACATAGTACAAGATGAATGAATCTTGAGAGCAATATACCAAATGAAAGATGTCAGTCATGAAAATCTGCATATTATATGATTCCATTTATGTAAAGTTCTCATAAGAGGCAAGTTTAAACAGACAAAAAATAGAGAGTGATTGTCTAGGTCTGGTTGAGATGGAGAGATTGGGGTGTGGCATACAGGACTTAAGAGTGAAAAAGCATAAGGTTTTTCTGGGGCTGAGTGATGGCAACATTCTAAAACTGATTGTGTTGATGGTGGCACAATTCTGTGAATACAGCCATGTATCACTTGCTTAACAATGGAGCTATGTTCTGAGGAATGTGCCATTATGTGATTTGGTCAGTCAGCAAACATTATAAAGTGTACTTACACAAACCTAGATGGTATTGCTTACTACTCACTTAGGTTATATGGTATACCCCATTGCTCCTATAGCTCCTACAAACCTATACTGCATGATACTGTACTGAATACTGTAGGCAATTGTAATACAATGGTATTTGTGTATCTAAACATAGAAATGGGACAGTAAAAATACAGTGTTATAATCTTACGGAATCACTATCATATACATGGTCTGTCGTTTCCTGAAATGTCAATATATGGCACATGACTGGGCACTAAAAAAACCACTGAATTGTTTAAATAAGAGAGAGAACTGTTGCAAGATTTTTGCCAGAGATGATAAGTTTAGGGATTGGGGTTGTTTTGATTGTTTTTCAAGCAGTAGAAAGCATAGGTCTGGGTGACTGACTAGTTGGGGGTCATTTCTTTAATAGATGGGTTTCCAATTTTGGCATTTACCAAGACAGTAAACTTAAGAAATGAAGCAGAATTAGGGGAACAAGAAGCAGTTTCATTTTGTACATATGGAGTTTGACATTCTAGTGAGACCTGAGAAGAAAAATATCAAGAAGAGAGTTGGACATACAGGTCTTTAACTCAAGAGCACTCAGGCTTAGAAAGGTAAGTTTGGAATTCATCATGTAATCAGGTGGTGACTGAGGTCATGTGAGGATATGAGACTGCCAGGAAGATGGGGTTCAATGGCAGCACGTGATGTTTGTTATAGAAAACACAGAATACATGAAAGGAAAAGAAATTCTTCCAATTGCCAACACTTGCTACATCTTTTGATACTCATTTAATATTTTTCTTCTATTTTTTTCCCTTCAGTTTTTCCCATTTTTAAGTAGTTATGTATGCATTTTTTGTCCTGACATTCTTCTACTTAATATTATAAAATATATATTTGTCTATGTTGTTACAAATTCTTTGTCCCAGAATCTCCTCACAATCATTTTCCTCATGGGGTCCTATTTCTTGACTCTTATCTGGGATTGTACATGGCAGCTTCCGCCTCTCCTGCCTTCTCTTTGTTCCTGATCACTCTCCCACCTGCCCTTCTCTAGTATAGATCACAAAGGCCACTTCATTCATGAAAGTCATGTGATTTCTGGCTGAAAGTTGATCATTAACTTCAAAATGGAATTTCAGATTTCTATTTCATTGTCCCTCCTTACCCACACTGGAAAGGTCACTTTGAGGAAACTTCCTGAAACCATCTCAGAAAGACTTTATCAGTAAATTCCCCTTTTTGCCATCCTTTCTTGCATTCTCTTTAAGCCTCTTTTAGCAGACTCAGCTCCCCATTTAGTGCTTCCAAGAGGGTAGAAGGCACTCAGGTATGTCACTGCCATACAACTGAAATCAGCACAGTCAAAACACCAAAAATGCCATCTAAGTTCTAAGCATACAGATTAGGTTAAACAAAAATGCAGGCACTTTGTCAAAACAGTCCCTGAGTCCTTAGAATACAAATGAAATGTGGAGAGTAAGATAACAAACCTGAAAAATGACATCAGATATCTGTTGTGGGCAATCATTTATTTAATATATATTAAATGTGGCTACCTTGAATCAATATTAAATGATGAAACAAAGGCCCATAAAGGAAACAAACATAATTACAGATCATTATTTCTAGTTTGGTATTTAGGTTTCACAAACAAGGCCTCAGTGATGAGAGGATATATGCAATGATTTTAGCAGATACTCAAGATATAGTTGATTCTCAATAAAAATTGTGTTTCTTCCCTTAATATTGAAATTCAGCTTCTATTTATTGATGGCTGGCTCACTGTGCCAGGAATCATGCTCAGTGTTTTCTCATACTTTCTCATTGTCCCATCTACCTTTTCAACAATCTTGAGAAATAGGTATTTCGTTAAACATTGTGTCTCTGAGACGTTACATGATTCACTCAAGATCACACAGCTACAATGGTCCATCTGAAGCTCTATTTCATGTCCTCTGAATCCAAATCCAATTGGCCTTCCCATCCACCACATATGTTTATTCTTCAATTCTCTTCACCATTTATTTATTGTTAGTCAAAACGCCTGTGATCTTCATCCTATTACATAATCTCCTTTTCTGTTCTTCTCTCAGCAAAATCCTCACCATACCAGCAAACCTTCTTCATCTTAATCCTCTCTCTGACTTGGTTCTCTGGACTACCTCCAGCATTTTTTACCCCTCCTTTTTCACCTCTTCTCAACCTTGCCTACTACTGCAAACATTACCTTGTAAAGTAAGTTTAAAGATTAAAGATTAAACTCCTTAATGACTTAGGATCCCAGATCAAACCATAAAGTTCACTCAACCTTATACTGACAAGTCAGAGTTAATGGTTCTTGGTGCCAAAATAAATGACAAAGTCTGCTGGTTTGAGCCTGCTCTTGGTGCTACATGTGCCAGGTACTTGTATGTGGTGTGTGTGTGTGTGTGTGTGTGTGTGTGTGTGTGTGTGCATGTGTGTGTAAATTGTCTCTTTTCCTCATGACCACTGTTTTCCAGATAAGAAAAACCAGGGCTCAGAGTTCAACGTATGTTCTCCTGATCACAGAATTAGCAGGTAACAGAGTTAGAAATTCAGACCCAGTACCATCAGATTGTATGTGTTGAGCTCTTTGCACTGTAACAGAAATCCGTAAATATCTGTTCACACACAAAGGGCTAGATCATCACAAAGTTCTCACCAGTTCACGGCTAAATAAAAACAGCACAATATTATAAACCAGGGAGCTGCAGTCTATGTCAGCATAAAACCAGATTATTGTCAAGAATCATTCTGAGTTTATGTCCTTTCTGCCTTTTTGGTGTTAACATTTCTTTTTCCTTGTGAAATGATAATGAAAACAGCTGGTAGTAGTTCTTTTGATGGTTAAATGGTAATGTTCTTAGTAAAATTAAAAGTAGGTAACCTTGTGTTAGTGATGCAGGCCCCTGTCTGCATGTCTACACATAAAGTCCACATGACCTATTAATGGTTACAGTTAATATGAATAAAATGCTGGGAGAGTTAGCTTCCCCCTCCAGCCCCAAACATTCAGTAAAACAGCTCAGTCCTGCACTTAGTTTTAGCCTGAATAGTCTTTTTCAATGTTTGCCTCTGGCTCGGCATCACTAGAGAGTTGTCCCCGGCCTATGTAGTCATAGCCACACAAGAGGCACATTTCAGGAGACGGTGGGTGTGACCTGCTGCCATGGGAAATTTCTCAGCAGCCCAGGTACTGGAAGAAATTTTCTGAGCTTTTGGTGGGAAAGGAGTGGGGTATCCACCTGGGAATGTCCCCATTTGGAGCTCTGTGCTAAAGAAGAAGGGACTTTCTCACACTTTAAATGAAGTCTTATTCTCATACATATCACGCTAACTCACACAGTCACAGTCTTTTTTTACAATGGGTAATTTAGATCACAAAGAGATGTATTAATCAATCTTCAGAGTTATCTTTGAATGCTGGCTGCTGACCCAGAAAAAGAAAGCAGGTCTACTATTCAGTCAGTCATATAAGCTTTCCAAGAAACAAAAACAATGGAATTCAAGTAAATTGGTTTAAAAGACAGAAGTTCAATTATTACATATTCCTTGGAACTGATTTACTTATTGTTCACACATTTATTCATTCAATGTGCATTACTTGTTCAACCCTTTCTTCATGGATACACAGCACTAAGTTCATGAATAAAAGCCCCTATGAAAGGCTTCGATTGTTTGATGAACCAACAAATGGATACACAGAGAGAGAAATAACTACAAGAATAAACAAGGCAATAAAAATATATAGAGTTGCTTTCAAAAGGCAAGTGTTTTTTGAAGTTAACAGAATGTTTTGCTATAATATACAGAATGAGTAATTCTAAACAATATATGTAGAAATTTTTTGGAGGCTGCTTAAAACAAGTGACCTCCAAGTTTGTGGTACCAGAATCTCAGGAACATGGGAGCATAGTGATAAAGGTCTATAATCTCTTTTAGGTATTTCAAGAGTCCAATTTAAACAATAAAAAGGGCCAAATCCAGTGGCTTATTCCTGTAATCCCAGCACTTTGGGAGGCTGAGATGAAAAGACTGCTTGAGACCAGGAGTTTGAGACCAGCCTGGGCAACATAGCAAGACCCTGTCTCTACAAAAACTAAAAATTAGCCACGGTGTGGTGGTACATGCCTGTAGTCCCAGGTACTCAGTAAGCTGAGGCAGAAGAATAATAGTGTGAGCCTTGGAGGTCAAGGCAGTGGTGAGCTGTGATGGCACCACTGCACTCCAGCCTGAGCAACAGAATGAGACCTCATCTCAAACAAAAACAAAAACACAATAAGGAAAAAATAAACAACAACATAAGTGCATGTGTATGTGTACATGAGAGAGAGAGAGAGAGAGAGAGAGAAAGAGAGAGAGAGAGAGAGAAAAACACCTAAATAAGTTGCAGGTGTGCATATGCCTGACCATATATAGTGTCATCTACAACAGTTAAAATCTCTTATTAATATTATTTATGAAATAATACTTTTTCTAGCTACGATGAAAGGAAAAGAAAAATGGAAAAAGACTATCCAAAGAATACTGAAGAAGAATTTTCAGGAGTAAATGGCCAAATTGATGCTGCTGTAGAATTAAATGGTGAGTGTTTCCACTGAAAACTTTCTTCATGAAAATTATCATAAGAAATCTGAGCTCTGCTTTAACACAACAGAAAATGGATTTCCAAGTGGGAGTCATTGGTTCTTATATTTGGTCCTAGGTCCTTTCATAACTTTAGCTAACCAGATTATCCACTAGAAAGAGTAACTATAAAATGTCTGGTATTGTAGTTCTCTCTTTCCTAATAGAAAGTTTTTAAACTATAGCTTCAATCAATTAGTCAGCTAGATCATAAAGTCTACCTGGGTCAAGATTACCTTTTCTATCTTTAAAATAGACATAGTCTTGGCCAGGTGCAGTGGCTCATACCTGTAATCCCAGCACTTTGGGAGGCCGAGATGGTAGAATCGCTTCAGTTCAGGAGTTTAAGACCAGCCTGGGCAATATGGTAAAACCCTGTCTCTACAAAAAATTAGCAGGGCATGGTGGCACATACCTGTAGTCCCAGCTACTCAGAATGCTGAGAGTGGGGATCACTTGAACCCAGGAGGTCAAGGCTGCAGTGAGCTGTGATTGCGCCACTGAACTCTAGCCTGGACAACAGTGATGATACGCTCTCTCAAAAAGAAAAAAAAAAAATCTCTCAATCTTCCATCACCCAACTCCTACAATTTAACACATAGCTAGGAAAGTTGAATAGAATTTTGTTGAATAAATTTAATTGAATCTTCTGAATCAATCAGTTAGCATATTCTTCTTGAAAAAATAGCACAGGGCTGGGCAATGTTCAGAAGTGCAAAGACCATTCCAGATGTGGCCTCTGCTCTCATGAAATGGTTCATCCAACACAGATGAAATGACTGGAAAACAGACAATCTATAATTTCGTATTGAGTCATGTGGTAGACTTCACAATAATTGCAAGAGCTGATCTGAGAAATGAAAGATCAGAATTGGCAGCAGTCATTGGAAATGTTATAGTGAGACTTTAGATGGGTTTTAAAGATTGGACAGAGGCTTCACCAGAGAAAGAACAGTCGAGGGGCTTCCTGGAGGAGAACAGCCTTAGCAGAAGCACAGTGCATGACTAAGCATGGCACATTGGATGACCCCAAAAGAAGGCCTTACCCTGGCTGGAATAAGGAGAAAGCTCAGAAATGACTGAGAAGTTGAGAAGTTGGGTTCTAGGGTAGGGTGGAGCCATGCAGAAGACAAGCTAACTGCTGCCTGACAAATTCGCAATTCCCCTTTGATGACACCTTAAGAAAATGACAATTACAAATTCCATTTATAATTTTGCTGGTCATCTTCAGTAACCACATTTTCAACTTTGTCTCTTTTAGGCTACATTTACTTCTTTTCAGGACCAAAAACATACAAGTATGACACAGAGAAGGAAGATGTGGTTAGTGTGGTGAAATCTAGTTCCTGGATTGGTTGCTAAATAGAGAACCTTGGTCTTCCCAGCAATGAGGATGATGGCAAGCAGCTTCTAACCGGATCTTAAGGACTAAAGCAGAATGTAGGATAGGGATTCTTCCCATGGCCTTCAAGTCAAATTAGAATTCATTGAAAATAATGTTTCCAATTTTTTTCATAGTTGTATATTCAGAATTTTCACCCACATTAGAAAGTGTCTATATGGGCAATTTTATACAAAATCCAAATCAACACAATGCACTCTCCAGTTAGACACCATTACTTTTTTCTTACCTAATATATACTGAAGCAGATCAGTTTGATTTTTATTTCCAGGAGGAAGCCTAGTGGTAAATTCCATGACATATACTATAATTCTTTTAATAGGAAATGTTATTACTATGCAAATTATAATTATTTTGCAAGCAACGGCTTTTGTGGCCATGATTTGGCCACCATTTGTTATAATAAATACAAATTTCCCAATTTTTACTTAAAAGACATCACAACAAAATACTGTATAAGATTTGTTTCTAGTTTGTTTAATTTGTGTCTACTCACTGGTCTCTGATGTAGGCTTAGGTGGATAAACCTATTCAAACAAATTTTCATAGTAGGCAAGAGATGGGTACTTTGCAACAGGAAAATTTTTAACAAAAGCTAATAAAATGTTTTAATAGAACAGTTCCTCATTTCTTTTTTCTGTTAATATTTACTAGCTTCTATAATACTTTATTTAGCCACCCACAAATTCTGTGTACCCATAAAAAAATTAAACTATAAGATAGCATCATAAGTACACAGACCCAGAAAAAATAACAGTAACTTATTCGACTTCCTTCTTCCTGAAAATAGACCCAGTGAAACTATCTTTGACCCAGCTAAGTGAGTGTCTTTTGAATAGTCTTCCATTCAGGGGAGTTCACCTTTTTGTTTTAGTTATTCTTACTTCAAGCTAAACCTTTTTTTCCCCTACCTAGACATCAGTATAGGTAAAACTATGGCTGTCTGTCATTCTTATAATTTTACCTTAATCTTACTCTCTAGAATGTAAGGATTCTAAAATATTCTAATGGTTCTAAAATTGAATGATAAAATACTTGTAATACTTTATAGACCTCCTGGTACATCTACAGTGTTTAACAGATGCTACTATTGTTACCACCATTTATGACATTTGGTTCATACACTCACTTAAAAGACCTAGTATTAAGAAGGGATGGAGTAGTTACTCACGGTTATTCTATACTTTCCATTTGGTTTCTGTTACTGAAAGTGGCCACTTACAGCCAACCAGATGTTGAATATTTGTTGAAGGCAAGGTCTGTCATCCTTGCCTTCTAATGCCAAGGTGCTTCTATAGAGGTGAAAAGTCACACCTGCAACCTCCCAAGCCTAAACCTGGAAGAAGCCGAAACCCTGAATAGACCAATAACATGGTCTGAAGTCGAGGCAGCAATAAAGAGCCTACCACCCAAAAAAAGCCCAGGTCCAGATGGCTTCACAGCTGAATTCTACCAGACATACAAGGAGGAGCTGATACCATTCCTTCTGAAACTATTCCAGACAATCCAAAAAGAGGGAATCCTTCCCAAATCATTTTACGAGACAAACATCATCCTGATACCAAAACCCGGCAGAGACTCAACAAGAAAAGAAAATTTCAGGCCAATATCCATGATGAACATAGATGCAAAAATCTTCAATAAAATACTGGCAAACCGATTGCAACAGCATATCAAAAAGCTCATCCACCATGATCAAGTAGGATTCATCCCGGGGATGCAAGGCTGGTTCAACATACGCAAGTCCATAAACGTAATTCACCACATAAACAGAACCAAAGACAAAAACCACATGATTATCTCGATTGATGCAGAGAAGGCTTTTGACAAAATTCAACAACCCTTTATGCTAAAAACCCTCAATAAACTAGGTATTGACGGAACGTATCTCAAAACAATAAAAGCTATTTACGACAAACCAACAGCCAATATCATACTGAATGGGCAAAAACTGGAAGCATTCCCTTTGAAATCTGGCACTAGACAAGGATGCCCTCTCTCACCACTCCTATTCAATATAGTACTGGAAGTTCTAGCCAGAGCAATCAGGCAAGAAAAAGAAATAAAGGGTATCCAAATTGGAAAGGAGGAAATCAAATTGTCTCTATTTGCAGATGACATGATTGTATACCTGGAAGACCCCATCATCTCAGCCCAAAATCTCCTGAAACTGATAAACAACTTCAGCAAAGTCTCAGGATACAAAATCAACGTGCAAAAATCACAAGCATTCCTATACACCAGTAATAGACTTCAAGAGAGCCAAATCAAGAACGAACTGCCATTCACAATTGCTACAAAGAGAATAAAGTACCTAGGAATACAACTAACAAGGAACGTAAAGGACCTCTTCAAGGAGAACTACAAGCCATTGCTCAACGAAATAAGAGAGGATACAAACAGATGGAGAAACATTCCATGTTCATGGTTAGGAAGAATCAACATCGTGAAAATGGCCATACTGCCCAAAGTAATTTACAGATTCAATGCTATTCCCATCAAGCTACCAATGACCTTCTTCACAGAACTGGAAAAAAACACCTTAAACTTCATATGGAACCAAAAGAGAGCCCGCATAGCCAAGTCAATTCTAAGCAAAAAGAACAAAGCGGGAGGCATCACACTACCGGACTTCAAACTATACTACAAGGCTACAGTAATCAAAACAGCATGGTACTGGTACCAAAACAGAGATATAGACCAATGGAACAGAACAGAGGCCTCAGAGGAAATACAACATACCCACAACCATCTGATCTTCGACAAACCTGACAAAAACAAGCAATGGGGAAAGGACTCCCTGTTTAATAAATGGTGTTGGGAAAACTGGCTAGCCATGTGCAGAAAGCAGAAACAGGACCCCTTCCTGACACCTTACACCAAAATTAACTCCAGATGGATTAAAGACTTAAACATCAGACCTAATACCATAAAAACCTTAGAAGAAAATCTAGGCAAAACCATTCAGGACATAGGTGTAGGCAAGGACTTCATGACCAAAACGCCAAAAGCAATGGCAACAAAAGCCAAAATAGACAAATGGGACCTAATCAAACTCCACAGCTTCTGCACGGCAAAAGAAACAGTCAGTAGAGTGAATCGGCAACCAACAGAATGGGAAAAAATTTTTGCAGTCTACCCATCTGACAAGGGGCTGATATCCAGAATTTACAAAGAACTAAAGCAGATCTACAAGAAAAAAACAAACAAGCCCATTCAAAAATGGGCAAAGGATATGAACAGATACTTTACAAAAGAAGACATACAGGAGGCCAACAAACATATGAAAAAATGCTCATCATCACTGGTCATCAGAGAAATGCAAATCAAAACCACATTGAGATACCATCTCACACCAGTTAGAATGGCGATCATTAAAAAATCGGGAAACAACAGATGCTGGAGAGGATGTGGAGAAATAGGAACACTTTTACACTGTTGGTGGGAATGTAAATTAATTCAACCATTGTGGAAGACAGTGTGGCGATTCCTCAAGGACCTAAAAATAGAAATCCCATTTGACCCAGCAATCCCATTACTGGGTATATATCCAAAGGATTATAAATCATTCTACTACAAGGACACGTGCACACGAATGTTCATTGCAGCACTGTTTACAATAGCAAAGACCTGGAACCAACCCAAATGCCCAACGATGATAGACTGGATAGGGAAAATGTGGTACATATACACCATGGAATATTATGCAGCCATCAAAAACGATGAGTTCACGTCCTTTATAGGGACATGGATGAACCTGGAAACCATCATTCTCAGCAAACTGACACAAGAGCAGAAAATCAAACACCGTATATTCTCGCTCATAGGCGGGTGTTGAACAATGAGAACACATGGACACAGGGAGGGGAGCACTACACACTGGGGTCTGTTGGGGGGAAATGGGGGAGGGGCGGGGGGTGGGGAGGTGGGAAGAGATAGCATGGGGAGAAATGACAGATACAGGTGAGGGGACGGAAGGCAGCAAAGCACACTGCCATGTGTGTACCTATGCAACAATCTTGCATGTTCATCACATGTACCCCAAAACCTAAAATGCAATAAAAAAAAAAAGAGGAAAAAAAAAAAAAAAAAAGAAAAGTCACTTTTGCAAAAACTGCTAAGACGGACTTCTTACTATCAATAAGCAAGGAGGAAAACAGGCTGGCAATTTCTTTAAATGTTTAACATAGATTTATCTTATGACACAGCAATTTCACTCCTAAATATATACCTATGAGAAATTAAAATATGTCTACACAAAAAACTTGCACATAAATATTCATAGCATCATTTATAATAGCCAAAGCATGGAAAAATGTCCATTAACTAATAAATGAATACATCAAATGTGGTAAACTCAGACAATCGAATGTTATTTGACAATAAACAGAAATGAAGTCCTAACACATGCTATAACATGGATGAAGCTTGAAAACATCATGCTAAATGAAAGAAGCCAGACACGAAAGGTCACATATTGTATGATTCTATTTATATGAAATATTTATACAGAAAGCAGACCAGTGCTTGTCAGAAGTTGGAGGAGGGGGTTACAAAGAGTGACTACTAATGGGTATGGGGTTCTTTTTTTGGGATAATGAAAATGTTCTAAAACTGACAATGGTGATAGTTGTACAACTCTGTGAATATACTGAAAGCCATTAAATTGTACACTTTAAATGAGTGAATTTTATATTATGTTAACTATATGTCAATAAAGCTGTTACATTAAAAAAATAAACAAGGAGATCAAAGTGGTGTGATGATTCATGGAGGTCATGCATTCTGGCAGCTGTGTCAGGGACCACATGACAATGGAGCACCAGCTTGAAGACATCCAGTGCTGCACACAACCAGCCAGATGTCCTCCTCATGTCCGGCACTAGCACAGAACTGCGCATAAAGAAGACACTTCACTAGTCAATGAATTCACTGAAAGCAATAAAGCATATGCTCTCAGTTCTGGCTGATGGATTCAAACTCCACATCTTCTATTTTCAACTGTGTGATAGTGACCAAATTCCCTCATCCTCATTCTCTGTCTCAGTGTCCTTTATAAAAATGGAATAATGGCAGTTTTTACCTCCTAAGGATATTTAGAGGCTTAAAGGTATGAGTTAAAATATGCAAAGTAGTCCCTGGCACTCTACAGAGGCTCTATAATTGTTGTTATTGAAGCCATTAGAGTTCATTTTGTTTCGTGATATTTTGGAGAATTTGTATATATCCCTTGAGATAACTAAAGATCTGATGAGCTATAATATCACAAGAATTGATCATCAATGATCTGAAATTTTTCTCTTCCAAATGTCAAATAAAATAAAATAATTTAAAAATACTATGTTTAGCCCTCATCTCCAAAATATAATTCTTACAAATCATCATTTTATTGAGTTAAGGAATTATTGGCTCTTAGGGCAGGCATGGTGGCTCACACCTGTAGTCCTAG